GATGTACAATAGAATGGCGTAATGAATTCGGGAGATTACCTGAGCCCTCACACGACCACTTCTCTCCGCGACGACGGTCGCACACCTGATCAGATGCGAAACAATGGGGGTGTTGAAAGAATGCCCGAGGGAGCGCTCGACTAGCCGAGGTCGAGAGTCTATGCCTCGCGTGCTCTTCGCACCGTGCAACTTTTCGAGAGGACAGCTTGAGACATTCCCGCGACCTCATTCTCAGCGGTCGCGCCAGCCGCAGCCATGAGCTTCGCGAATCTCCGCGTGGGGAGCGGCAGACCAGCATGCTCAGCTGGCACCCTGCTGTGACTAGGTATGCGCCGGGGCCTGCATCTATCGGTCCCGCATTGACTTCTACGCAGAGTCATCTTCTCATCGGCTCCGTCAGGCTGGCTCCGCATGGTCTGGCATTGGCGTCGACTGCTTGAGGAGCAGACGTCTGAGCTCGTCGTGCGTTGGAGCCGATGCATGGTGGTGGAGGATGGCATCAGCGTATCGCGTCCCCAGTTATTCACAAGCCAGCATCATGCACGTACTTCCTAAGCTCCAAGGCCTCCCTCCAATTGGGGTGACGTGTTGTTATCCAGTGCACCGAACGCGTCATGATCGGCTGCCCGAACATGGCAAACCCAACGCCGACAGTAGTCGCCTTCACGAAGAGCGCCGACGCTACTATCGTCATCGCAACCACCAGCGACCGTACGACCGCCGCGAGACGAAGGCGAGGCGAGAAGGGCGGCGTCGGCGACAATGCACTGCAAACAGGTGAGCACGGCAGAATGGACAGCGACGCAAAGATGGAACGCACTTTGCGAAGCGTTCCCAAGTGTCCACGACGTCCGACAATGCACGCATCGCAGGACGCGCGGTCTCCGACATCGCCGCCTCGACGTGCGTCTTGGTCGCATCGTGCTTCCCATCTGTCCGCGGCGCGCACGCCATGAGCGACGTCTGATGTCTGCGCGTGAACACCAGTAGAGGGAGAGCGCGATGCAAGGGCGAATGCGGTGTGTGGCCGGGAGTTTTGGGGGGGTCAGACGTGGTCAGACGAGGTGGATGCGACGATAGCACTTACAAGGGAGATGCCTTCCGCATTTACACGACCGGATAAATTGTTTCTGCGACCTACACTCTGCGCGTATGTGAACGCAGATAGCGCGCAGACCTCCGACGATAGACGAGCGCGGATGATACACCACACGACGGCTTTGCGACGATAGTTCCAAGCACAAAAAGGCCGCAGAAGCAGGGCGTTGGATGAGTCCATGACGCGATACGGCGAGTATGTGAGAAAGAGATACATGATGGCAGAGAGCGTGCCGTGCGATGCGCGGAGAGACAGAACGAGTCCGGGTGAGATAGCACATAGCAGGCAGTGTGAGCGATCATCCACAAGAGGCGACGA